TTCAAAGTAAAGAATTGTAAAAGTTGATGATAATCCATGTATTTGCCAGTTCTGCCTGCTACCTGGTAGGCACTGCTCCAAATCCGGCCTTCTTCTCCACAGCCCCATCTCACTCACAAACAACAAAACTGAAGCTAAATGCTCATTTTATATCCTTTTATCATGAAAAACATGAAAGACAACTTACTGTGATTTTTCTGAAAACTAAAATTCCATTTTATAAATGTTACATCACAATACTTCTATATATGAAAACTCTGAGGTCAAATGTAGGATTGAGCTTCAGTTGATTTTCCTAATGCCATCTACATCAGTCAGATTCCATTACTTCTATTCTTTCCACCATGCAACTGACTAGCAGCCCTTTGACCTATTAAATCCCATGACTCTCTTATCCCCTGAGTAATTTTTACCAGCATTTAACAGAGCACTACAGTCCCTACATGCTGCCTCTAAACACACAAGTAAGACAGAAGATATAAGATGTGACATTCTCTAACTTTTGCATACCTCTATTACCAGAGTTTCAAGGACCAAAGCCTGGGTCAAAGTCAAAGCTCTAACAAGCTAGACTCAATCACTATCTTCAACAGGCCAATTGCAGAGACAAGTAACAGTGAAAAGCAGAATATTTATTCAATGTGGTTACACTGAGAAAAGGAAGACAGAGGTCTTGTTACCCTGAAATCTATTTTCAGGGTCCTAACACAAGGTTCAAGTTTGAAAAGAGGTTCAGAGGTAGAACCAACTACTCCTAGTCAAGGTCATGTTACGTCATTGTCTCTCTCATCTTTTCTGCAAGACAAGTTGTCACAACTGTATAAAATCTCTTCCTAGGAGAAAGTTCCCTTCCTCTGGCTGGCAGTGGGTTCCAGTGTGTTCTTTCTCTTATCTTAAGATTCTTGAGGAAATTCCAATTTCTTAGAGGCCTAATAGTCAAAGGGATGCAAATGTCTCCCTTGTAACAACTGTACATTTGCCAAGATGGTTACACGTAAAAACGTAGTGAAAGGCCAACTTCCTTCAGTATTTCACAGAAAAAAAAATACCCCTCTCTGGGAGCAGAGAAAGAGCGGCCATAACTGACCTGCGGCAAACTCCAGAAAAGGTGTGGCGCACTGTCTGGAAGAAAAAACAGCAAGTGAAGATGACTGTCCTGAGATCCCAGATGAGCAAGGACAAGTGTTTTCCTGGCTCTTCATCCTTCAGACTGAGGCAGGTTACCAAACTGACCCCAGTGCAAGGGAACAGAAGTCTCGGCCAGGACAGGGAGGGTCTGGGCAGCCCTCCCTGCTGGCTTCTCAGAATTGCTCTGTCTTCTTCCAAATGAGCTACAGGAGAACCAGAGAACCACAATTTTAAAACTGACTTCGTCCAAGAATCAAATTTACTTTGGCAGTTCTCCAGAAGGGGAAAACAGACAACTAATCCCTTTCCTACTCCCTCCCCATGACAAAATGAACAGTTACAGCATAAGGCCTATTGGAGCCAGGTTCAATTACAGAAAAGCATTTGAAGATCTGAAATATTGCACAATGTGCAAATGTGGAGAAGCAACTTTAAGGCTCATTAAAGGTGTGAAGACTTTCTTTAAATATCCCTTTGTCTTCATCTGGCCAAACTAACACCTTAGGATCATAAATGGGTCTTTGCTTCCTCCAAAACATCAAGAAATACTAGGTGCAAAGAGCTGTCTTCAGGGAACCTTGGGTAGGCAAAGCTGCTCCTATTTGAGGGAAGGTCCTTATCTATTTGCCTTGTTTAAGTCCATCACCAAACATGGTTAATCACCAAACATGGTTCCTCTTATGAGCCATTTCATCATTGACTGAAAGCATAAATTTTTAATTTGCATAACATTATCAAACATTCTCAGGTCTAACATTTAACAGTACTGTTCAATAAGAAAGGTACTTCCTGCCGGGCGGTGGTGGTGCACGCCTTTAATCCCAGCACTTGGGAGGCAGAGGCAGGTGGATCTCTGGGAGTTCGAGGCCAGCCTGGTCTACAAGAGCTAGTTCCAGGACAGGCTCCAAAGCTACAGAGAAACCCTGTCTCAAAAAACTAAAAAAAAAAAAAAAAGGTACTTCCTAAAGACAAAGAGTAAACTGTCCGGAAGTACTTGCTCAGGAGCAAAACTTTAAAACTGACAATACAAATGTGGTCAGAACTGTAAGATCACAAAGTGTTGTATTTTGAATGTAGCTTGTGCCCCCAAAGTTTTGCATGCTAGAAGCTTGATCCCCAGTGTGAGAGAGTTGAAGTAGTACAACCTCTAAAGGGGACCAGTTGAGTGTGGTCATATAAGCCTGTGACCACAGCACTCCGGTTGCCAAGGCTAGATGATGCATGTTTTATTCCTTCCTGGGTTACACTAGGAGAACTATGCTTAAGAAAACAAAAAGCAGGAGACCGTGGATAATAATTAGTACTAGAAATTCCATGATTAATAATGAGGGTGTCTCAAATGCTGAATTGGGTCTTGGAAGAACAGGAGCAACCCACACTTTGGTTCCTTTTATGGCCACCTCTTTTCTTGTTTAGTTACCATTACATCTGTCTTTCAAGGCCAGAACAAAACACTGCTAAGAATCAGCAGAAAGGAGGGAAGGTTATTTAGTGTAGAAGTTTGGAAAGTCTGGCCCATGTTCAGCTACCTAAGGAGCTTATGATTGTAGGAGAAAGAAGATTAAATTGACTCCTGCAAGCATCCATGGACTCTTCTAAATCACTAGGAGCTGTGCCAATGACACAAACTTCTGCAAGAAGAAAGTTCCAGAAGGATATAGGACAGAAATCTGTGGAAATCACTCTGCCAAAATTTTACATTATATTTCATATATATGTGTACATATATGCATATAGAATGTGTGTGTATATATGTATGTGTGAGTCCTGTATATACGTGTGTATTCATGTGTGTGAATACATGCCATGGTGTATATATGGAAGTCAGAACACAATCGAGTATAGATCTTTACCTTCCAAGTAATTTTTTATTTAAAAAAAAAAACTATCTTTTTTCATCTTACATACCAATCCCAGTTCCTACTCCCTCCCCTCATTACCTCCATCTCCCCCACACACACACTCTTTATCTACTCCTCAGACACATTGCTTTTAGGAAGGACCAAGGCTGAACAAGGTGTCCCTCCAAAAAGAATGGGCTCCAAAAAAACAGTACAAGTAGTAGGAATAAATCCTGGTCCAGTGGACCACAGTCTGCCCCAGCCATTCAATTGTCACCCACATCCACAGGGCCTAGTTAGATCCTCTGATGGTTCCTTCCTTGTCTGGCCAGAGGTGGTAAGCTCCCATTGACTCAGATAAGCTGTTTCAGTGGGTGTCCCCATTCTTCCACATGATTTGATAGAAGGTCACTTTGTTGTCACTACTATATTGCAGGCTAGCTGGCTTGTGAGCATCCAGGAATCTTCTATCTTATCTCTTCTCACCATAGGATCACTGAGATTGCAGATGGCCTGCTACTTCAGCCACATTTATGTGGGTTCTTGGGATACAGGTCTTCATACATGTGAGGCAAGGGATTTACCCATGGAACCATCCCCCAGCTCTCCATCAAAATTTTAAAAAGTGATTAGAAAGTCAAGTTGGACCTAGCAATGCACACCTGTAATTCCAGCTACTCAGAGATAGCAATCTCAGTATCAACCTGCACAATATAGTTTTCTGAGAAAAGAAAGGAAAGGAAAGAAGAAGGTGAGGTAAAGGGAAAGGATGTGGGGAGACAGAAAAATAAAAATAAAGGGGGGGAAGAAGGAAAGGAGAGAGAAGGGAAAACACAGAAAATAGATGAAGGGTCTGAGGACAGGGCTCAGTGGATGGATCCTTCCTCTACTGTCTGCCCACAATTGTGCCTAGAGGTAGTAGTGGTTCCCCAGGAGGCCATGGTAGTAGTATTATGTTGTGAGTCACTTCCTTCCAGACATGTACTCCTTGGACCCCTGCATCACCAGTCTGTTTTCACACCCTACCAGCAGCTGTGGTGCTTCCATGACAGAACCTGACAAACGTATGCAATCCCTCACCTCCCACCTTCCCCTTGATGCTCTACCATCAGGATCTCCATTTGTCTCCATCTCTCCATGAAAATATCTTTACAGTCACTTGTAACCTAAAAATCCCCAACCTAGTGACTATTAATACTTTTCTTGGAATTTAATGCTTGCTTGCCGCTTTGGAGATTGTGTTATTTGTTTATTTATTTATTTATTTACTTATTTATTTATTTATTGTTGTTGTTGTTATCATTATTATTATTACCCTTGGATCCTTCTCTCAAGTGTGTGTTGTTAGCCTTCTCCCCATTTCCAAATGGTTGAGAGTCACAAAGCTTGACTCTTGGGACCCTCCCTTCTCTTTTTAGCCAAGCTTACCCAGTGTTGAAGCTAAAGACAACAACACTGGATTGTAGCTACAACACTTTCTGTCCCCATCACCCCTGAACTCTATTTAATTCTGGACTGTACTTGCACCTGGCTAGTGTCAATTATGACCCAGCCAAGCAAAAAGGAATTTGCCCTTGTATCCCTCCCTCAAATCCACTCTCCCAGTCTCCACATCTCAAGAATGCCATGACTCCGTTGCACTGTCTTCATTTTCCTTCTCCTGATAGCTCTATGTTAGTAAGCCCATGACCTATCTCAAGAACACCTTAATTTGAACTCATCCACGGCTATTTTTGTCATTGTAATCTGCCTCTTCCTACACAATACTACACCAAATTCCACAACACCAACCTATGGGGGTCCTCACACCACTCTCACCCAGACAACAGTGGACTATATCACAGTTATCACACAGTCCTGATGTCTTAAACTGTTACAATCTCTAAATGATTCCTATTGCAGTTACTATATCTACTCTCCCATATATGCAAGCTGTGACAAATATTTAGAATGGACAGCTTCAAAGAGAAAAACATATTTTGGAAACTTTCTTTCATAAAAATCTAGCTCTCTTGTTTTTTTTTTTTTTCCACAGTGACTCAAAGCATTTGATTGGGGAAAGAATGTGACAGGAGCTGCCCAGGAACAAGATATACTCCCAAGGACAAGATTCCAAGAACCTGACTCCAAGTAGGCCAACCACTGCCTAATAATGTCATCAAACTATGAATTCATTAGTAAGGTTAAAACGTTCATGATCCAGACACATCCTCAAAGCCCCACCTCTGAATATACTGCTCAGGGAGTAAGCCTTAGTCACATGAGCCTTTTGAGGAGCACTTTATATCCAAACCATAGCAACACTTCCAATCTACAAATGGGCACTGTGATTGACAATTATACTCCTAGTCTAAGTAGATGACAGCCTATTATTGGTCAGGAAGAACACACTCTTGTACAGAAGGGAAACCCAAAGAATAGGTTTCTGAGATACAGAACCTGACAATAGTTTTTATAACCCTGTTATGATAATCTGAACATTTGTCCTGTTGGATATAACCTTTAAAAGCCATTGTAATTTTAAAAAGCAGCATGCAAGAGAAAAGCAGCATGTGGCAGAACTCACATGGAGGAGATTTTTATTGGAGGAGTTTTTTATTAAGTGAAAGGGAACATAAAAAGGGGAAGAAAAGGGTGGAGACTGGCCTCTGGAGACAGGAGCACTAGAAGAGAAGAGAGAGGCAGAGAGGGAGTGGAGAGAAAGAGAATGGGGAGAGACAGGGACAGGCAGAGAAGCAGAGAGAAGGGGACAGACATATAGACAAAGAGAGATAGGAGGTGGGCAGGGTTCCTTTAAAAAGGAACACAGTGAATGTGCACAGCAGGTGCTTTTAGTGGCTATAGCTGAGGATGTAGTATTAGCCGTCTTCCTTCCTGTAGAGCAGTGCTCCTCAACCTTCCAAATGCTGTGACCCTTTAATATAGTTCCTCATGTTGTAGTGACTTCCAACTATAAAATTATTTCATTGCTACTTCATAGCTGCAATTTTGCTACTGTTATGAAACATGATGCTAATATATGAAATGCAGGATGGTCTTAGGTGATCCCTGTGACAGGGTCATTTGATCCCGGAAGGGGTCATGACCCACATGTTGAGAACCAGTGCTCTACAGCACGCTAAGCTGTCTCTCATGACAGGAACTTTGTACTCCTTATTTCTGGTTAGAGTGCTGTATCTCAAAATCTGCTTGTAGGCCTCAGTCAAAAAATAGTCTGACTAAAAGACCTCATTAGTAGAGCAACAGTCTTCCTTAATCCAGGCTTTTATTGTTTCACTGACTTCCTTTGTTTTGATGATATTTTATTATGTTGTATGTATAGATGCTAACTTTCTGGCTCACCTGCTAAAATGTAAGCTTCATAAGGGTAGGAACATGATATATCATGCAGGTACTTAGCAAAACATGGCCTCTCAGAAAATCTTAGGTATTTCTGACTGCAGGGCCATAGAAGAGAGAGAAAGCATTGGTTATGGAAAACTCCAATATTTTACTTTCAAATTTGTGGGAAACCATTAATGGGCTGAGACATATTATACAATAGGCTTGACAGAAGCAAGACTGGATGCAGAAAGACATCGGTTCTGGCAAAGAAATATGACTCTAATCAAAGTGATAACTTTTGACAAAGAACAAAGAATAACCTGAGCTCATTGAACATCAAAAACATGAAGAGTAGGCATAAAGACAGGATAAGAACTGTGGATCACATCCTTGCTTATAATGACAGAGGCTTTGCCATCATGCAGACCATGCATAAAAAAGGAGCAGTAATCCAGATTCTGGGGAAAAAAATGGATCTGACTCTGAACACAATTAATCTGAGATGCTGATAACACCACCACTGGGAGCTCTCAATTTTGGACAGTATGTAGGTAGGGATGACAAGGAAGATCTAAGCCTAGAAATAAAAAACAAGGATTTTATTTAAGTCAGCAGATTGCATGAAGTCACAGAGGAAAACTCAAAAGAACATAGATATAAGGATGAACCCTAAAGAATATGAATATCTAAAGAATGGGAAGCATGGGACTCCCTTCCCTCGTTGACCACATAACATCTCCCAGCCCAGCCTGTCCGGGCTCTAGGACCTAATCCGAATTGGCAGGGCAAACGGGAGGGTGGTAGCTCCTTTGTTCCCACTAGCCTGCCTGCAGCGAGCTAGGTAGGTCCTTTGTTTACGAGACATCCAAGCAGCAAGGAGATCCGAACCCGGCACCAGGAGAGACATCAGGCTTGCATCCACAACCCACCCAGAGTGGTCCTGAGGAGTTCCATCTG